TGGAGACTAAGGTGCGTCTGATACAGGCCATGGTCTTTGATATCACTTGTTATGCATCAGAGAGTTGGACAGTGACTAAGGAGGATAGAAAGAGAATGGATGCCTTTGAGCTGTGGTGCTGGAGAATAGTATTGATGGTACCATGAACTGCCAAGAAAACAAAGAGATTCATCCTGGAGAGGGTTAAACCAGGCTGCTCCTTGGAGTCAAGGATTCTGAAGCTCTGTCTAACATACTTTGGACATGTTGTAAGGAGGGACCAGTCCTTGTAGAGGGACATCATGCTTTGTAGGGTGGAGGGACAGTGCAGGAGGGAAAGGCCCTGTGTGAGGTGGATTGATTCAGTGACTGGGGTAATCAGGTGGAGTGTATCAGAGATGGTGCAACTGGCGCAAGACAGAGCAGAGTTTAGGGCTGTTGTATATAAGTTCACTATGAGTCGCAAGTGACTTGATGGCATATAACAACAACAACATTTTTCATTATCCCTGGGAAGTTTTCCTCTAGTAATTCTTCCACAACTTTTTTTGATGCATTTACTTGCTTCTTCCTTTTCTGATATTCCAGTGATACACATGTTATTTCTCTTGATGGTGTTTTTTCTTTATTATTCTTAGGTTTTCTTCTTTTTCCTTCCTTTTTGATTCTGCTTTTTGCTCTAGCAGATTAGTGGTAACAATAGTGTCTTCTATTTCATTGGTTCTGTATTCTATCTCTTCAACTCTGCTCATGTGTCCCTCCATCATGTTGACAGCATCTGAAACATTGTATCTCATATTTTGGATCGTGGTTTCTTGTTTTTCCAGTGCTGCTAATGCCTCATTTGTTTTATCTGCATTGTTCTGGATTGTTGGGTGTTTTGGTTTTTTTTTTGTTTTTTTGTTTGTTTTTTTTATCTCCTCCTGGTTTTGCTTGTCATATCCTGTAATTCTTCAAGTTTGTCTTTCATCTATTGAAAATATTCAATCATTGTTCTTTTAAATTCTGTGTCAGAAAGTTCCATCAGACTTTCTGGCTTCAGGAAATCCATTGATACTGTGTCACCCTTTGGGGGGGGGTGATATCTTGCTTTGTGCTTGTGTAGTGTGTGAAATAGCTTGCTTTCTTCGAGACATTGATAGGTTCTTGGTCTGAAGACAATGCTCTAGAAATCAGTTAGGCAGCTACCCCACTTGTGTTTTTCTCTGAACTTCTGTTTAAAGGGAAAGGTCAGTTCAGAGCCTGTGAAAGCAACCTCTTGTAGGTAAGTCAGATCAAGGTGCTTCATTTTAAAGGCAGGTTGATAGACTGGATGTGTAGGCACAGGCAGGGAGCTGAATGAGGGTGGGGCAGGCACAGGGGCTGGGCAACAACAGGGCAGGTCAACCACTTGTGAGACCTCACTCAGACCCCAGCTGTCTGGGTGTGCTTATGAGTAGGGTCCCTACTCAAATAAATTCCAGCTGTCTGTCTCCCACCCAGTGGTTCTCACTTAGTAGTCCCTGCCCAGTGGCTCTTATGCAGGTGCCCTTATGCAGTGGCCTCTGCCTGAGCAGGGTCCTGGGTCCAGTGGAACCCAACAAGACTCAAACCCCACTGACCCACTCACCTCTGGTCTGTGGTGTCCAGGAAAGTTCAGTCAAACTCCCACTGGCCCACTCACTCTTGGGCACTCTCCCAGGCAGTGGATGGTACCCAGGAAAACACAGATGAATTCCCACTGGCCTGCCCCTTCCTGGGCAGCCAGCATGGCCCAAGAGAACTCAACCAAATTCCCACCAGTGGGCTCGTTCTTGGGTGCTCTCCTAGGCAATCGCCAGTGCCCAAGAGAACCTAGTCAGGATCCTACTAGCCCGCCTGACCATGGGCAGTTGGCAAGGGCAAAAGAAAACTCAGTCAAATTCCAACAGACCCACTTGCTCTTAGTGAGGTTTAAGAGAACTCAGTTAATGTCCCGCTAACCTTCTTTCTCCTGGGGATGGGTACCATAGCAGCTAGGCTGTTGGCTTCTGGCTTTAGTTGGGCCCAGGGGGCGGCCCACAGTGCAGCTCTATGTTCCTGTAACTCTGAAACTAATTGTTCCAACAAAAATTCTGATCCAAATTCCTACTGTCCACGTTGCGCCATGTCTGTCGGTCTCTGTGCGGCATGAAGGTCTCTCTAATGGTCCATCTCTATGCAGCTTGCTATTCCTCCAGCTCTTCACACTGCACTCTCTACCACCGCCATCTTAGAATCCCATAAACCTCTTTGTTTTCTTTTTGAACTCTTCTGTTCAACTCTCTTCCTTTCTCTTCAGCTTCTCCATATTAAAGAGCAAGTTTCAAAGTCTCTTCTGACATCCATCTCTTTATTTTTGGTTGCTGTTGTTGCTTTTTCTTTATAGATAGTGTCCTTGCTCTCATCCCATAACTTATCTGATCTCCAGTCATTAGAGTTCAATTTGTCAAATCTGTTCTTGAGAAATTTGCTAAATTTAGGTGGGATACTCAAGGTAGTAATTTGGCTCTTGTGAGCCTTTTTCACTTTTCTTTGCTTTCCACTTGAACTTGCAGATGAGCAGTTTATGATCATTTCCCCAGTCGCCCCAGCCTTGATCTGAATGCTGATACTGTACGTCTCCTCTGCTGAGTCCCACAAATGAGGTCTGTCTGGTCCTGGTGCGCTCCATTTAGTGACGAGCTGCCTCATAGTATTTGTAAAGGAATCCTGGCTGTGCAGTGGTTAGAATCCTTGGCTGCTAGCTACTCCCAGGAAGGCAGAGCAGGCAGTCTAGCTTTACAAAGATGCCGTGGTCATACAGAGTCACTGTGAGCTGTCCTCAACTTCATGGCCGCAAAAATTGCACATGGACAGTCCTGGTGGATGTAGATTGACGCATCTTTCTCCTGTAGAGTGGCTGAGCCAATGACATTTTGGCTTGTGTTTTATCCACTGTGCCACCAGGGCTCCTTGCAATTTCATTCCCGCACACAATCACGGGCATTACAGCAATTGGAGCCCCAGCAAACTATGAAAGCAGTCATGTTGTGACAGGGAGCATGTGGGGGCAAGGGCAGGGAATCGGAGCAGGCTGAGGGTTGGTTTGCCCTATCATGGCCCAGGGCTGCAGGTGTCTGGGAGGAAGCGGGACACTCAGGCCTTGGGGCTGACCCATCCTATTTGTGCAATCACGTCCTCTCTCTCCCATCACAATCCTGAGGGACTGAGCAGAACTGCCCTGTGGTTTCTGAGGTGAAAGTCTTTACAGAAACCAATTGACTGCCTCATCCTCCTCCATGGAGGGGCTGGTGGATCTGAATTGTCAGTTTCTCAGTTAGCAGCACCCGAGAGTTTTTTGTTAGCACCCAGCCTCCAATTCCCCCACACATAAGTGACAGTGAGCAGAGGGGAGGGACTGAATGGTGAAGAGAGAAGAGATCTGGGCAAATTGTTTTGTTTGTTTGATGATTTCATTTTTTTTTATTAGGGAAGTCAAAAGGCTATCAATTCAGATTAGCTGCAGGATACAATTGCTTAGTCAGGTCAGCCTCTAAAATGTGCTCGTAGGTACCTCAGTCTTCAGCCTCCTGGCTTTAGGCCCATGTTAAAAAACTGACCAATTAAGAGGTCTAGGCATCTAAGTGTGAACAGAAAAGCTGGAACCCATTGGAGGCTGAGAAAGAGAAAGAAGTGGACCAGTGGTCTGGAAGGGCTAGGGAAGAAGAATCAGAATGCCCTGGATGTGTGCACAGAGGTCCACAAGCTTAAGGGTATAGAAAAGGCAGTCTGTGAGGTTGACCTGGGGGCTAGAGGTGGGTAGGGCTGTGCACCCGTGGCTGGGTCTCTCCTTGCCAGGTTGTATGAATGGAGGGGCTCTCTAGAATGAAGGACGGGCATTTAGATATTGACTTTGACAAGAAAAAGGAACTGGGATTTGGGCTGTAAGAGGTGAAACGAGCTAGAGAGGCTGAGGAGGAGGTAAGGGTCAGTTGTGAAGAGAGGAGAAACGGCCTGGAGTCATGTGGACAGTGAAGGCCCTTGGAGAGAGGCCAGCTGACTGTCCAGTGTGCGAGTGTTAGTGAATTCATGAGGTTCTGTGGCAGTGGGGACCAGCAAAATCTCTGAAGCCCCTCCTCATAAACGCCTAGCAGAGGCTGGGGGCTACCTTCCTTTCTGGGAGGGATTTCTCTTGGTCGAGTTCCAGCCCTGTTATTGGAAACATCTGGAGATCAGAGACAGGAAGTCACATCTGGGCCCCATGCACGGCATGCCGGAGGAGGGGCTTTGGGCAGTGATAGGCACACGAGGGGTCAAGGATGTGGAATTCTGAGCCCAGAGGATTCATCCACATACTGAGTCCCTCCCAAAGCCGGGGGAATCTAACAAGATCAGTTAGACATGTGATCTAGGATGGGGCAAACTCTCCAACCGGACATCCACGGGCTCCTGCCCAGGTTCCACAGGAGAAACAGGGGTCACTACACACACCCTGAGTTTTATGGAGTGAGTGGTCCTGGGCTCCCTTGAACCTTGTTTGGGAAATGCTTTAGAGGAAGGGTTTTGCAGGGTGAATAGGAGTTTGTTAGAGAAGAGGTGGAAAGGTGCGTTAAGAACAGGCACAGCATGAGGCAAGGTTTCTTGTGAGGAACATGTGCAGGGAGGCTGAGAGGGAGAGGCCTGAACTCAATCTACAGGAATGGAAATGCGGACCAGCTTCCCACATGCACACCACCGCACGGACTACCATGCAGGGCCTTGCTTTGTCTACGTGGGCCCCGAGGGCTGTCACCACCAGCTGACGGGCCTCATGTGCACCAAGATGCTCTGCTGTGCCACTGTGGGCCGCGCCTGGGGCCTCCCCTGTGCTCTGTGTCCTGCCCAGCCGCACCCCTGCCGGCGGGGCTTCATCCCCAATGTCCGGACAGGGGCCTGCCAAGGTGAGTGGTGGGGTCAGGGAGTGGGACAGTTGGTCCTGGGGTGCCAGGGCTGAATGGGAACCCTGGGCAGCCTTAATCCCTTCCTCTGACGGGCCTCTCACCCCCTTAATGGCCTCTACCCCTGCAGATGTGGATGAGTGCCAGGCCATCCCAGGCCTGTGCCAGGGGGGCAGCTGCATCAACACAGTGGGCTCCTTCGAGTGCCGCTGCCCTGCAGGACATCAGCTTATGGGCAGTGCTAAATGTGAAGGTGAGGGTGGAGAGGGGTCCTCCCCTGTATCCTCGGTGGGAGGAGGAGGGACAGGGCTGGAGGTCCTCATGTCTGACCCTGCTGTGTTGTGACTCAGATGTGGACGAGTGTCTCAGCGTGCCGGGCCTCTGCTCGGGGGGTGGCTGCACCAACACAGTCGGGAGCTACGTGTGTACCTGTCCCCGTGGCTTTGTCACTAGCCCGGACGGTGCTCGCTGCCTGGGTGAGCTGGGGCTGGGGGGCTGGGACGGTAGAAGACCAACAGCCAATAAGCCCTTCCATCATCTAGTTCCAAATGGCAACCTGGCCTTCGGGTCTCTATGGCCCTCCAATCTCCATGCCCACTTGTCTTATTAGACTCCAAGTCTAGTCAACTTGATGACACCTAAGAATAATAATTGCCTCTGAGCTCTTTCCATGCCCTTTAGCTCTCTAGAGGTTCTGTCGGCCTCTGCTCTACCCCCACGTGACCCTCAGCTTCTGTGCCCCTCTAGCCCCCTGATTGTCATCTCTATGCCCCCTGCCCCTCTAGCCTCCATCTCTATGTCCCTTTGGCTCTCTGGCCCCTGTCTCTATGTCCCTACTCTAAAGACTAAGAGTAAGAGCTTCCTGCCTCCCTCTCCATCTTTGAGATGGAGAAACCAAGACCCAGAGTTGTTGTGTACTGTTGAGTCACAGGAGGCAGGAAATTGCACAGGAGGAGATTGCTCGACTTTCTTCCCTGGAGAAGCTGGTGGATTCGAACCATGTACCTCTTTATTGGCAGTGCAATTCTTTACCACCAGGCCACCAGAACTCCCTGAGACCCAGAGACAGGAGGGGATTGTCTGGAGCCAACTCAACCAGTCTCTGGCACCCTGCCAGGGTGGGCTTCTCAGGGCTGCGTCTTTCCTCTCTGAGCTTCCAGGTGGGGAACACCCCCTGACATTCTTGTTTAACATCTTGACCCGCTGGTCCACAGGCATTTGTAATTGCTGGTGGTCAACAATATGGGCAGGGAATACAGGACTTGAGGGATGGACAGAGGCCTGATTTGGGGACGGGAAGGGGGCTGACAGATTCCCCAGCACCACGTTAGCCCCTCAGGCAAGGCCTCTCCTGGGCAGGGCTGATATATTGTGTTTGGAATCAGGCCAGCGGGCTGTGGCCAACACCAGAGTTCCTGGGCCTCCACCCCTCACGCCCGTCATGGCAGTGTAAGAGGCCTCCTCCAGGCACACACCTCCCAGCAGAGCCTGGCTTCACACCGAGGTCTGGTTGCTTCTGAGCTCTGGTTCTGGAGTCAGGACTGGGCTCCAATTGTTGTTGTTGTTGTTGTTATGTGCCGTCGAGTCGTTTCCGACTCATAGCGACCCTATGCACAACAGCTCTAAACCCTGCTCTATCCTGCGCCAACCGCACCGCCTCTGACACACCTATCCCGATTACCCCCGTCACCGAATCAATCCATCTCATAGAGGGTCTTCCCCTCCTGCGCTGTCCCTCCACCCTCCCAAGCATGATGTCCCTCTCCAAGGACCCGTCCCTCCTGGGGCGCCAATTACTGGTTGAAAACTCTGTGACCTTGGGCAAGCAGCTTCACCCCTCTGGGCCTCCTCAGTTTTCTCATCTATGAAATGAGGATGATAATGATACTGGTGGAAGAAAGACCTGGCAAACTGTAAGGTTCCCAGCTAAGGAACTCCATGGAGCGGGCCTGCTGTGCTGCACAGGGAGTTGTAAGGAGTCGGAGTTGACAGCAAAGGCTCTGGTTTGGCTGAACAGTGCCTTCCTGGTGGCACCGTGGGTTGGTGGGGCGAAGCTGGCTTCCCGTCCTCCTACCTGCCTTCTACAGCTGTGCAACCTTGAGCTACTGTCTTGACCTTCCTAGCTCCCAGCTTCTGGGCCTGAGATAATACTGAGGTCCAAAGTCTGAACTCCCACTCTGTTTCCTAGGGGGTCTGCAGGTGCAGAAGGCGGGGTGGGAGGTGGTACATATGTGTGCTTTCTCACCCACAGGCAGGGGCGGCTGTCAGCAGTCCTTCCAGGCTGGTGGGTGGGATGTCTCAGCTCTGGGCCCTCGGCCAAGATTTGTGGGCTTTTAATTCTAAAAATATGCTCTTTGAGTCAAAGCCCAAGAAATTCCATCCCTAAATAAAGTTGTCGGACTTGAAGGCATGGTAGGAAGTGAGAGTGTCGGTGGTTCTCAAACCCAGAAAGCCCCTGCCTCAGTTTCCCCAGGGACCGTTGACCTTCACAGCCCCTTGAGGGAACCAGCATGCCCAAGTTTGGCAGGTGAGGACACTCAGTCCCAAATGGCTTCCTGGCCTCACCTCCCCCTGGGCAGTGACCTCATGAAGGTGTGTGCTAACTGTAGTTGAAGGCCTGCAGTGACGGGGAGCTCACTTCCAGTGCCAGCTTTGGGTGCTGGTCCTCCCTAGCTTGGAGCAGACTTATCCTTAACCCCCTGTGGTATTAGCGGAGCTTAGTGATGAGAGATGGCACTCACACACCTTGGCTCTGTGCCAGGCTCTGGACACTGCCCTTGGGGTCCTCAGAACCTGCTTGTGAGGTCACCCACTCTGCGGATGGGAACACTGAGTCAGGGACAGGCAGAGATCTGTCTTCTGGGTGGTGGTAGGGGAGTTGAATTTGAGTCTCATCTGGTGGCTGCAGCTGCCTCCCCTCTCCAGTCTTCAGCTCTGCCCACAACCACAGGCTGCAGCTGCCTCCCCTCTCCAGTTTCCAGCTCTGCCCACCACCTCCTCCTGTCTCCAGCTCTACCCACCCCCCCCTCACCTCTCTGGTCTCCAGCTCTGCCCACCCCCCCCCGCCTGTCTCCAGCTCTGCCCGCTACCCCCTTCCCTGGTCTCTAGCTCTGCCCACCACCCCTTTCCCCCTCCAATCTCCAGCTCTGCCCACTTCCCCCTTCTCTGGTCTCCAGCTGTACCCACCATCCCCTCCCTGCTCCAGTCTCCAGCTCTGCCCACCACCCTCTTGCAGACCACCGGGCTGGCACCTGCTTCTCAGTGATGATCAGTGGCCGATGTGCCAGGAGCCTTGCTGGCCACCACACGCGCAGGCAGTGCTGCTGTGACTCGGGCCAGTGCTGGGCGGCTGGCCCAACCCCAGAGCTATGCCCTTCTCGGGGCTCCGGTGAGTGGCTGGGGGCTGCCTCCCTGCCCTCCTGCCCTGGAGCTCTGGCCTAACCCTGCTTTCTTCCTCGCAGATGAGTTCCAGCAACTGTGCACCCAGGGCCTCCCACTGCTGCCCTCCTACCCCGGCCCCTTCCCTCACTTCACAGGCTTCGGGTCCACCAGTAGGGGTCCTGGCCTTGGGGGGCCGGCCCGTCACAGCCAGCACAGCGCCAATGGGCAGGGGTTTCCCAGCCTGGGCCCCAGTGATTCCAGCATTGGTGAGGGACTGAAAGGAAGACTGGGGTGGGGGGCAGTCCTTAGATGGAGGGTTAGGGCTTGGTGCAGGGGTCACGGCCTGTATAGAAGGCATGAAGGTATAGTGGTCTAGAGGTGTGTTACAATGGGGCCTCAAAGTTAGATGGGGGTCTGGGCTTCTCTGAGTTTGAGATGGGAGATCTAGGCCTGAAGGGGGAGCCTGGGCTTCTCTGAGCCAGAGGTGAGGTGGGAGATTCATGAGCTTCTCTGAGCATGAGGCTGGAAGGTGGGGGTTCTTCTCTGAGTCTGAGGTAGTGGTAGAGGATTGAGCCAGAGGCGGGGTCTGGGCTTCTCCAAGCCTGAGGTAGGATCTGGGCTTCTCTGAGCCTGAGGTGAGGGTCTGGGCTTTTCTGAACCTGAGGTGGGATCCAGGCTTCTCTGAGTCAGGGGAGGGTGGTCTGGTTTTCTCTGAGCCTGAGGTAGAGAGTCTGGGCTGGGTGGTTCTCCCTTCAGGCTGGCCTCGGGGCTTGAGGGAGAGCCTGCATATAAGGTGGGGTCCGAGCAGGGCTGGCTCCCCATCTGAGAGTGGACGTCTGCACGGTCCTGTCCGTAGGCACTGCCACACTCAACCAGACCCTTGACATCTGCCGCCACTTCACCAACCTGTGCCTCAATGGCCGCTGCAGGCCCACCCCAACCAGCTACCAGTGCGAGTGCAACCCGGGCTTCACCCAGGACGTGCGAGGGGAGTGCATCGGTGAGGGGGGCAGCTGTGAGGGTGTGCATCAGTGTAGGGCTCCAACAGTGAGGGTGTGCCGTGCGAAGGAGTGCACTCGTGGGGGCAGGAGTAGGCGTGAGGGGTGCAACAGTGAGGGGGTGCAGCAGTGAAGGGTGGGGCAGGGAGGGGTTCAGCAGGGAGGGAGTGCAGTGTGAGGGAGTGCACTCGTGGGGGCAGCAGAGAGTAGGTGAAGGCGTGAAGGGTCCAACAGTGAGGGGGGGTATTGCACTGAGGGAGTGCAGCAGAGAAGGGTGTGGCAGGGAGGGGTTCAGCAGAGAGAGAGAGTGCAGCAACCAAAGTGGTGCAGCAATAAGGGGGTGTAGCAGTGAGGGGGTGGGGCAGAGTGCAGCAGTGGAGGAACGCATCAGTGTAGGGGGCTCAGCAGTGAGGATATAGCAATGTAAGGGTGCAACAGTGAGAGCACAGCAGTGAAGGGGTATGACAATGAGGGAGTGCAACATTGGAGGAAGGTGCCGTGTGGGGGGTGCACATTGTTGAAGGGGATGGTGTGTTGAGGATGGTGGAGGGTGCATCGGTGAAGGGTTGGAGTTGTATAGGTGGGAGTGGTGGGGGTGCCTCAGTGAGGGGAGACGGGAGGGTACAGGAGAAGCAGGTGTTCACTGTTGAGGGGCTACATTGATGAGCAGAATAGAGGGTCCAACAATGAGGGTAGTCTCAGGGGCTATGCCCCCTAGACTGTGGCTTAGTGTCCTGTACACACAGATGTGGACGAGTGTACCAGTAGCCCCTGTCGCCATGGTGATTGCATCAACACCCCTGGCTCCTACCACTGCCACTGCCGTGGGGGCTTCCAGGCCACTGTCACCAAGCAGGCATGCGTGGGTATGGTTTGTGCAAGGGGAAAGGCATGAGGGGATCTTGGCAGGGGGCCCTGGGACTGATACAGGCATGCGTGGAGGAGTCACAGGGGTCTTCTTGAGAACCCTGCTTACGTTGCAGCCAGGTGTAGGCTCTGAGACTCCTGACTGGGGCCCTGAGTCTGTATGACTGTGCTTGGGGCCACAGGGATGGCAGTTCTGGACAAGAGTGCCTGCATCCACAGCCAACACTGAAGCATCTTGGGGTGCCCACCTCCTCCCCTAGATGTGGATGAGTGCATTGTCAGTGGGGGCCTCTGCCACCATGGCCGCTGCATCAACACAGAAGGCAGCTTCCAGTGTGTCTGTGACTTGGGCTTTGAGCTCACGCCTGACGGCAAGAACTGTGTGGGTGAGTTAAAGGCGGCAGGTGGGCAGTGTTCTAGGACCCCCTGGCTTGCTTTGACAGCCACCTCTGATTTTCAGTCCTTCTCCATCACCCACCCTCCCTGCCACATGTCCTCTGCTAACCTCACAGAGCCCAGCAGACCCTACTGTCCACCCATCACTCATTCCTTCCTCCCTTCATAAATCCATTCCATGAGCCCCAAGAAGGGACCTTAATGGCCACACCATGCTGTTAGGCAGCTCCAGCAAGTGACTGCCCCTGGGCCTGCAACACTGCCCCTCCCCTGCCCTGGGAACTGTGTCCAGATGGGGCCAGGGGCAGAAGGCGGCAGGATCAGCACCTTGGACAGCGCCCTCTGCCTGCAGCTCCCCCTGCCCTTTGGGTGGATCTTCCAAGCTCTGCCTGGGCGTAGTTCTGTGGAGACCAGACCACCACCCTTGCCCATTGCCATCAAGTCCCTCCTGACTCATAGTGACCTTGTGGGACAGAGCAGAGCTGCCTACTGAGTTTCCTAAGCTGTAAGACTTTACAGATAGAGCCTGCCTCCTCTTCCTCCTGCCGAGCAGCTGGTGGATTCAAAGTGCCAATCTCTTGGTTAACAGTTGGATAGATATTTTAGTCACTGTGGGAATAGGGTGGGGCCCTGAAACCAGCTGCTTGGAATCCGTTCTGATTCATGGTGACCCCATGTGTGTGAGAGTAGAACTATATAGCGAATGCTTTAGAAGGAGATCACCAGGTCTGCCTTCTGAGGCATCTTTAGATGAACTTGAACTTCCACACTTCTGTGAGCAGCTGAGAATCTTACCTATTTGCACCGCAGCACCCAGCGACTTCCTTAGTTCTCTTCAGCCACCTGGCTGAGACCTGCCTTAACATCCTCTCCTCGAGGGGTATTTCCTCCTCTGCGGGCTTGTTCCTCATTCATGCATTCTTTCAACTTGCTCTAAATATTTGCTGAGCACAGATCAGGTGCCAAGACCCAAGTTGCAGAGATAAGCAAAACAGGAGACAGACAAGAAAGTTGTCCTCCCTCAGGGAAGATTTCTTCCACTTTGCATTTGTTCCTTGTTCATTCCTTCCTTTTTTTCCTTTTGAACAAATGTGTATTGAGTGTATATTGTGTGCGGATAACATGTCAATGAGGACATGATCCCACCCTGATGCGCTCATATTCCAGTTGGCAGATTAATATACAAACATCACTGCGAGCCGCATTTTGTTTGACTCCCATATCCCAGGAAGGGGACCTTCCGAGGCTCAGCCCTTGGCCCCAGAGGGGTGACAGAGGCTGCTCAGAAGGGCAGGGCTGCCCCCAGGTGGGGTGAGTTCTGGTGCCCAGCCTCACCTGCTGGCCCTAGCCCCTTCCGGTGTCCCCAGACCATGACGAGTGCGCCACCACCAGCATGTGCCTCAACGGGGTATGTCTCAATGAGGATGGCAGCTTCAAATGTCTCTGCAGACCTGGCTTCCTGCTTGCACCCAGCGGCCGGTACTGCCTGGGTAAGTCCACTTGGAGCCAGGGCAGGGCAGATGGGAGAGGGGAAAGGGAGGTGTGATGGAAGAGTTAGATGAGCAGGGAGGAGATGGAGAGGGGAGGGGTGCAATGGAAAAGAGAGATGAACTCAGAGTGTCAGTTCTAGGGGAGCTCTCTCCCTGTCCACTCTGGAGCAAGACCTTTGCCTCTTTGAGCTTCTGCTCCTGGCCAGTATTTGTGTAACTTGGTCTTGCTCTTTAAAAATCTCAAAAGAGATGGACTCCAGACCCATCAACACTGACCCTGCCCCTGGTTACAGTAAAGGCAGCTCGTCCTCACATGAGGTCACATGGGCTAGCAATCACAGCATGTATTTGGCGAGGTCATGGTCAAGTCTGTAACCGTGATTCCCAGTGGCATCTGTCTTCCCCAGCATGCGCCTCTGGGTTCATCAGCTCTTTTTCATCTCTCAGAAGTCACGAGGGTTGGGACCCACCCTGCACAGTTAGAAACTCATTTCACAAAGCAGTCGGGTTACCTGCACAGCGTCAGGATTCCCATACATGTTCTGAGAGGACACAGTTCGAGCCAGGTCTTTTCTTTCCTGAGATGGAGTTGGACTGTGCTCCACTGGGCTTTTGGTGGCTGATATTTTAGAAGTAGATTGCGAGGCTTTTTTTCTGGATGGATTTAAGTCTCTAAACCTTCTAGCTAGCAGCCCAGTGTGTCCACCATTTGCCCCACCCAGAAACTCCAACTCAGTGCGTAACAATCTGCAGAGGCCCTGATTCCAAAGAAGGCTGTCTCCTGCAAGTGCTAGATGGGCATGAGTTTTGGAGGCACTATTTAGCTATGCATGGGGTAAAGAGAAAGATAAATGGACAGGTGCGGGGGAAGGAGATAAGAGGAAGGAGGGAGAGGGGACAAATGGAAGAAGGAGAGGGGGGCTATGGGGTGCAAGGAGCAACCCTCTCACCACACCACCTGCCCTGCAGACATTGACGAGTGTCAGACTCCCGGGACCTGTGTGAACGGCTACTGCACCAACACGGAGGGCTCCTTCCATTGCCGGTGCCTGGCTGGACTGGCAGTGGGCGCTGATGGCCGTGTCTGCATGGACACCCACATGCGCAGCACGTGCTATGGGATCGTGGACAAGGACTCCTGTGCCCGCCCCTTCCCAGGCGCGGTCACCAAGTCCGAGTGCTGCTGTGCCAGCCTGGACCATGGCTTTGGGGAGCCCTGCCAGCTATGTCCTGCCAAGAACTCTGGTGAGCTCCCAACTACTCTGAGGTCCCACTTTCAGGTTTTTCCCCTTGGGGTGCAACAGAGGTCTCAGCTTTTATCGAGTGGGGGCTCCTCTTCCTAAGAAAAGACTGCAGGACCTCTGTAACACGAGGGGAACATTGTGGTGCCAGGGTCTTGTCTAAACTTGAGGGCCATGGCCTGGGGCTGGGCTCGGGCTCCAAGTGGATGGTGTGCTGACCTCTCCTCCCCTGCCCTCTCCTCCCTCCACTCAGCTGAGTTCCAGGCCCTCTGCAGCAGCGGCCTGGGGACCACCACGGATGGCAGAGGTGAGTATGCAGCTTTCAGGGAAGGTGCCCCCTGTGTGGTCAGAGAGCTGTGTGTGCTCCCCCACCTGGGTTCCTTCCCCCTGTGCCCACTGACATTCTGCAGACTGCTGTGTGGTCTTTCCAGCGCTCCAGGAACGGGCAGCCCCCCAGGTGCCCAGGTCGATCATGGTCCAAATGCTTTATTCGTAAAATTGAAGCTTGACAGGAGGAAATTGCACATCTGCATTTCTTTTTTTTTCTTTTTTTTACATCTGCATTTCTTACCACTTGATTGTCAATCAGATACAGATGTACACACACCTGCATGCGTGCATGCATACACAGCACACACACGCAGTACATGCAAAGCACAGGTGCACACAAAGATGTGTATGTGCGGGCACATGTGCATGCACCAAACATCACACAGGTACCATACATACCTGGTGCACATGTAAGTACACACATATGCACACGCATACACCTGCACACCCCGTCCCACCTCACCTGCAGGGGGAGGAAGGCACTGGGGCTGCTGTCAAGTGTTTCACCAATTTCAGATCTCTCACCCCTTTTTTAAAGGATCCTGGAGCCTGGATACCCAGGTTCTAATCCCAGTCCTGCTACTTAATAATTGCATAACTTTGGGCATGTTCATAACCTTCTCTGTGCCTCAGTTTTCTCATTCAAAAGTGGGGATACTAACAGAATCCATTTCAGGGGTGCTGGGAGAATGAAATAAACGCGTTCATCTACTCAGTGTACAGTGTACTTAGGACAGTGCTTGACCCCAAAAAGAAAGCATCTTGAGAGCGCTAGTGATTATGAATTTTCTAAAAACAGTTTCTGCTGGAAATGTCCATCCTACTGGCTCTTTCAGTTCTTACCCTCAGGAGACAGTTGATGATGTCGAGATGTGGTTTGTCTAAAGCAGAAATGGGTACAGCCAGCAGGGGCTGGGTTGAGCCCAGGGGTGCTGCTCAGCCCTCTGAGTGCACAGAGTTCAAACCCCACTGGGGCTGGCTCTGATGCGTGCCCACCTGACCACTGTGTGCCTCATAGGAGTCTCTGGCTGCTTTTTCAGAAGTAGATTGCCAGGCCTTTCTTTCAAGGCACCCAGCTTTTGGTTAGGAGCCAAGTGTGTCAGCCATTTCACCAGTCAGGGAGTCCACGGCCTGGATGGGCCCCTGCAGAAAAGGAACGGCACAGCTTCAAGTGCAAATAACGTTGTTGTGCACCTTCGAGTCCGAACCAACCCACAGCCGACCCTCCAGCAGGTTTTAGAAGCAGTAGATCGCACAGGAGGAGACTGCCCATCTTTCTCTCACAGCTGGTGGGTTTGAATCGTGTGCCTTTGGGTTGGCAACACAACTCCTTACCACTAAGCCACCCGAGCTCTCAGATACAAGACCAACTGCCAGTAGCATCTTGATTTAAAGGGAAAGGGCTCAAACTCATGCTGAAACTCTGACCTGGAGAGTCCTGGCCTCTGGCTTCTGACCTCCCCTCCCACGGCAGACATCAACGAGTGTGCCCTGGACCCCAACATCTGCGCCAACGGCATGTGTGAGAATCTGAGGGGTGGCTACCGCTGTGTGTGCAACCCAGGCTATGAGGCGAGTGCAGAGGGCAAGGACTGCATAGGTGAGTGTGCCGCGGGCGGACAGATGGACAGGAGGTCCATCCTGGTGTCCGTCCGCCTCACCTGATCTCCACCTCACCTGCAGACGTGGATGAGTGCGCCCTCAACAGCCTCCTGTGTGACAATGGACGGTGCTGGAACAGCCCCGGCAGCTACAGCTGCTCCTGTCCCCAAGGCTTCCGCTTCAGGCAGGACATGAAGAGCTGTGAAGGTACAGGGCCACTGGCACACCACGGGTGCCATGAACACGGGCACCACGGGAATGCCTGCAGTCACACGCATGCACATCCACACACCTAAGCAGCGTCAAAGCATTTACCCATGTACACCCACAATGCTGCACACGGACATACACACTCGACACACACTCCTTCTTACACTTTCACACTAAAGCTCACAGTCCCACTCACAGACACACATGCACCACAACACATACGCACACATCGACAGTCACACCCCGCTGCCTGTCACACACCTCCAAATATATTTATGTACATATTCAAACTCCTGTGTCCACACAATAAAACATGTTCACAGGTGTTCAAGTGCACACCCCACATTTCCACACTTGATCAGTCGCACACTTTCACGGCCCTTCAGGACACGCACACTTTCAGGCACTTGTAGACACAGTCACACCTCCACACACTTGTACCTAGTTGCACTCAGAACTGTCACACACTCAGATGCACTTGCACGTGCACACACACAGATCCACAGTTGCTCCTGTGTAAACACACACACATTCTAACATATTTGCACACACATACTCACACGTATTAAACACTCACATGTGCACGTGTTCAGAGACACATATGCCCACACTCACAATCACACACACTTATATGTACACTTACACACACACGTCTATACCCATGTGCGCTCACACTACAGCATACATGCCCATCCCATCATATGCACTTGCACACCATGACACCCTTGGGCCCTCCACTCACCGGCGCACACGCTAGGGCACACTCACACGGGCACACACTCATGAGGTCATGGTTGATGCATCTTCCACCTTCACAGACATATGTGACATGTGTCAGTAACCACACAGTCTCTCCCAGCTCCCCTCCAGCCCTGCTCCTCCTCTTGTCCCCCTCTTCACCCAGACCCCCTCCTCCTCCAGCCCCCTCCTTTACCAGCTCCTCTGTCTTCCAGGCACCCCCTTTCAGCACTCCCTTCCAGTCGCCCTTCCCAGTCCTCCTTCACCCAGCCCTCCACTGGTCCCTGCTCTTTCCTCTCTGCCCCACACTATATCCAGATGACCATGTGAAGCCCTGTGACCTTGTCCACCCCAGTGCTACTCAGTCCCCAGGTCACCAGTGTCTTCACATATCTCCTCTCAGACCCCATCTCCCTCTCTACTGTGGCTGGGGCACGGCTGCCCGCTGCCAGTTCCTCCCATCCTATCACCTCTAAGCTCTGCCTTCTCCAGCCCCCTCTGCCACTTCTACTTCTCCGTGACGCAGCCTTCAGACAGTCCCCACTATGACCATCCCCACCCCTCACTTCGCACTGGGGTGCTCACAAGGCCCTGCACACAGGCAGACAGGTGTGGACATACACTGCCAGGCATGGGCACACACACGTACACGTGTGCCTGGCATAGTCATCTGAACGCATTTGCATAATCATGGTCCCGTGCACCTGTGCACCCCATGTTCCTGGGAAGAGGGGGCCCTGGCCCAGCAGGGCTCCTCTTCCACAGCTGAAGACCAGTTTTGGGGGGCTGTCCCCACAGACATCAACGAATGCCTCTCTGGCCCATGTGTGAACGGTGTGTGCCAGAACCTGGCTGGCTCCTACACCTGTGAGTGTGCCCCCGGCAGCCGGCTGGGGCTCTCAGGGACTGTATGCATAGGTGAGAGGTGCCTGGCTTCATGGGGCTCCAATGAAACCCCTCCCTCTGCTTGGTACCCTTGGCTTGGTTGGTGTAGAGGTGTGAGGCTAGGTGGCACCCAACAGGTGAGACCGGTGTTCCCTGCCTCCACAGACAGCACAAAAGGCACCTGCTGGCTGCAGGTGCAGGACGGTCACTGTGAGGCGAACCTCCACGGAGCCACCCTGCGGGCTGAGTGCTGTGCCACCCTGGGCGCTGCCTGGGGCAGCCCCTGTGAGCCCTGCAAGATGGGTAATGAGCCCCCCTCAGAATCCTGGGTGCAGGGGTCAGGGAGGACAAGAGCCCTGCACCTTAATGGAGAGTCACTCTTGTCCCTTACCTTTTCCCAACATAGACCCTACCTGTGGCCGGGGCTTCGCACGCACAGAGGGCCTCACCTGTACAGGTAACCCCTTTCCCCCTCAACCCCTGCACCTTAAGACCAAGACTGAGATTCTCACCCTGGTACCCAGTCTCCCCAGCTCTCCTTTCCAACCCCTGAGGATGACCTTGCCACATCCCCACCCCCAGTGACCTCCTCAAGGACAACTAGGATTTCCTGACTCCTAGGGGGGAAGCCCGCATCTTCCCACTCCTGGATGCTCCCAGTCTCCCCCTCACCCCACCACTTGCCACCCCCAGATGTGAACGAGTGCGAAGTCTTCCCCGGGGTCTGTTCCAACGGGCGCTGCCTCAACTCCCCTGGCTCCTTCCATTGCGACTGTCCCCCAGGTCTGACCCTGGATTCTACAGGCAGGCTGTGTGTGGGTGAGTCTGAGAGAGACCCCGTGGGCCTTCCTCTGTAATCTCATTGCCCTGGATCCCCAGCTACTGGAGGGAACAGCCTGCTAAGAAGAGGAGGGCCTGAGGGGTCATTTGGGAAGATCTTTGTGTTTGCTGTTCATGTTGAAATATTTTTCCTCCACCCCAAGAACATCATCACAAAAGGGAAAATTCTTGTATAATAATACAGTAAAACCTGCCAAAGCTGACACCTGTCTAAGGCAGGAAACCTGCCAGAGAAGAAAAACATGAGTTTCTTTTACTAGCAGAATGATAGGAAAGTGGTCCCAAGGCACACCTGGCCAGAGCTGGAAAACTTGGGAGACCCAGAAAACAAGGCTGTCCAGAGGAGGCCAGGCCACTGCAGGTCCCACCATGGCTGCGGCTCGGGGTTGACCTCTTTTAGCCAAATGGGCTTTTTCCCCCACTAGAGTTGATTCTGACTCCTGGTCACCCTGTCTGCATCATTCCAACTGTGCTCATAGGGCTTTCCTGCTGGTTTTGTTTTGTTTTATGGGTTGAGTGACAGCTTACAGAGCAAATTCGCTTTCTAGCCAAAACCTTATCCACATTTTCATGAACTGGCCATTCCCTCAGTGTCGCAGCACCCTTCCCACATCTTGTCTGGGTTCCCAGCTTCCGTTTGTCCTCGTCCACCAGGTGAGCTTTGTCTGAGGGCAAATGCTGCCCTTGATGCCACAGGGCTCACAGTTCTGAACAGCATGTTCTTTGCACACGTTATTGTTCACTTTACAGGCTTGTCTGTCATTTGTCAGAAAGGTGACCCATGGGGGTGGGCTCAGCTCCAAGTGGGCAGGGTCTCCATGGGGTTTTCAAGGGCTGCACTTTTGGAATTAAATTGCCAGGCCTTTTTTCCATGGTATCTTTAGGTAGGTTCAATCTTCTGACCTTACAGTTAGCAACCAGATACAATAATCATTGGAATCATTCCAAGCATTGAAACAGAGTTAATTCTGGTTGACTGTTGTTACGTGCTGTGGGGTCAATCAGTTACAACCCATCCTGGCCAAATTAGATCTGACTCTTTAGACAACAGATATGAATCTTGCCCTCTCCTGCTGTGCAACCTGTGTCAGTCCATCTTGTGGAGGGTCCTCTTCTCTTTCACTGACCTACCTTTCCTTGCAAAATATCTTTTTTTAAGAGCTGGCCGCTCCTGACAGCATGCCTGAAGTCTGTGAGACTAAGTTTCACCATCCTTGCCTCTAAGGAGCACACTGGTGGCACTTCCTCCAAGATGGAGTTCCCTTTGTACTTTTGGCAGTCTGTGGGTGTCGCTGTTTGCCAGCAACCTACAACAACACCCTGATGGGAGTAAGCATGACAGAGATACACCACTCTGGGAGAGGATCAAAAAGTCAATCCAGCTCAATTTTATTGGGATCTGCAGTGCACTTATATACAAACATGTAAATAGGAAGACAGAGTAGGGTGGGCTTACAGATGTGGGACATGCAGATTGGTTAGGAGAACCTCAGCCTCATGCAGACCACTCAACAGATGCCAACAGACGCTCAACAGATGCCACGGCAGCCGTCTTCCCAGGTGGTGAGGTTTCTCAAGCCGGTACAGCCAAACACAGGGGAGCTTTCTCTATCCCATATTAAAGGCCATTGGGAGACTTGTACTTATCTGGAGCTTGGGCAATCTGTCCTGGCCAGAGGCCCTCTCCCTTCCTCCCCAACATCCTACAACATGTGGGGATATTCAATACTCTTTACCAGCACCGCAAGTCGAGGACATCAATTCTTCTCTGGTCTTCCTTGTTCATGTCTAACTAACATTCAGATGCACACGAAACAATTTCATCTACCTTGGCTTAAGTCAGGTACACCTTGCTCTTTAAACGAACACCCTTGTTCTTTGGAACTTTTTTGAGGTCTTAGGCAGCATATCTTCCCAGTGCAAACACGTCTCTGGGTTCCTTAACTGCTGTTGGAGATGTTAATTATCAATCCAAGTAAAATGAGAACCTTGAACGTCACTCTCTTCTCCATCTATTGTGATGTTGCCTATTGGTCCAGTGGTGAGTAGACCAGGAATTAGCAGATATTTTCTGTTAGGAGATGCCACAAAGTCAGTTGCAAATCATAGTGATCCCATGTACAACAAAACAAAGCATTCCCTAATCCAACCCCCAGCATCTTCCCAATTACTGCTGTGTTTCGACCCATCATTGCAGCTAATGAGTCAGTCCATCTCACGGAGGCTCTTCCTCTTTTTCATTGAGCTTCCACTGAGCATGTGTCCTGGGGCTGGTCCCTCCTGATAACATTCCCAAGTGTGTGAGCCCAAGTCTCCTGGTCCTCACCTCTAAGGAGCATTCTGATTGTGTTTCGGTCCAGCAAGATGTATTTGTTCTGGCAGCTCATAGTATAGCTCATATTCTTCACTGACACCATCATCCAAAGACATCAGTTCCTCTCAGGTCTTCCTTAGCCATTGCCTGTCCTGTCCATGTATGAGCTGACTGGAAATATTACGATTTGGGTCAGATACTCCATACTCTCAAAGTGACATCTTTGACATTTTGATGCTTTAAAGAGGTTGTTTGCAGCAGATTTTGCCATTGCAATCCATTGTTTGATTTCTTGACTGACTGATGCTTATGTTGGTTTTGACTGTGGATTCACAAAGGGTCAGAGTAGATATCATCTGACTCTGTGAGGGAGATGGTCTCTTCTGGCTATGCAGCTTGCCACGTGACTCAAAAGCAGCCTTAGATAACATATGAATAAATGGATGTGATCATATTGATAAAGCTTTATTTGCAAAAATAAGTAGCTGTCCCACAGGTTATGCATAACATGTCAATTCCTGTCCTGTATCCCCATCTCTGGTGCTGAGAAGACAGCCATTTAGAGGGATGTTAGAAGGATGAGCACATTGAATTTGGACTGCCTCTTTCTGGGTTTGAACTTTAGCTCAGCCTCTTATAAATTCTGTGACTTCGGACAAATTACTTAACGGCTCTGTGCCTTGTCCTGTAAAATGGGTGTGATAATAGGCTTTTCTTCTAGGTGTGATTTCTGAGGATTAAATGGCTGATGAGTTTACAGCAATGCAGGAACATCACATCATAAACATAGCAACCAATGTTATTATTGCCGTGACCGCCAGCAGGGGCTAAGCTTTCTGGTGGTATTCAGAGGAGATAGGATGCAGTCCGTTGACCAGGCCGGGAGAAGTTTCGGGTGGGCACTGCCCACGTTTGTAGTCGTGGCGATGGCACTGGTGACTGACCCTCTGTGCAGACGTGCGCCTGGAGCCCTGCTTCCTGCATTGGGACGACGATGAGTGTGGGGCCCCTATACCCGGCAAGTACCGCATGGACGTCTGCTGCTGCTCCATCGGGGCTGCGTGGGGCACCCAGTGCGATGCGTGCCCAGGGACCAGCTCCCCGGATTTCGCCAGCCTGTGCCCACGGGGACTGGGCTTCGCCAGCTGGGACCTCCTGTCTGGGCAGCCCTTCTACAAAGGTGCACTGGGCAGGGCCTGGGGTGGGGACGGAGCCTGGGGAGGCGAGCCCTCCAGGAGGGGACAGGCTACTGGGAGGGGGCGGGGCCTGCAGAATGAGCCACCCGAAGAGAGGAGGAGTTACTGCAGTGGGCGGGGCCTCCATGGTGAGAAATTTTGGGCGGGGGAGGGGTTACTGATGTGGGCGGGGCCTCCAGGGTGAGAAATTTCAGGAGGGGAAGGGGTTACTGGCGTGGGCGAGGGCTGCAGAATGAGCCACCAGAAGAGAGGAGGAGTTACTGAGGTGGGCGGGGCCTGCAGGGTGAGAAGCTTCAGGAGGGGGAGGGGTAACTGACGTGGGCGGGGCCTACAGAGTGAGCCTCCTCAGGAGGGGAGGGGTGGGCGGGGCCTGCAAGGTGAGGCTCCCAAAGGGGAGGAAATAGTCAGGAGTGGGTGGGGGTCTATGGCAAGAGCTAAACAGCTGGCAGGGGAGTGGGTTGATCGGGGGAACGGGGGTGGCAGGGCCTTAGGAAGTGGTCCTCTAAAGGGTCTGCAGAGACAACCCATCAGGACTGAGCAGGCAGCTTAGGCGTCTGCATGTGACCTACTAGTAAGAGGAGGGTCGATGGGTGCCCCCCTCTACGTGAAGGCTGGAGGTGAGTTGTGTCAGAGCCACTGGCCATCCATTGCCCACCCAGGCCTCCCTCCCAGCTCCTGGAGGAGCAGCTGAGAGAGGCCAGTGGTGGCCTGGGGTCCGCTGGTGGCGCAGCAGACTGAGGCCACTGCACACTCGGTCCCCAGATGTGAACGAGTGCAGAGCGTTCCCGGGTCTGTGCACACACGGCTCCTGCCGCAACACGGTGGGCAGCTTCCGCTGCACCTGCTCGGGGGGCTTTGCCCTGGACGCCCGTGAGCGGAACTGCACAGGTAAATCCCACCTTGCCCAGGGGCTGGATCTATGGGGCTCCCCCCACGGACTCCACCTGCTGTATGACCCAGTGAAGGCCATCCCCTCTCTGGGCCTCAGTGACTGGCTGTGAAGGGAGGGGTGGGAAGGCGACCTGGGGGCTCCCACTGGCTGTCCAGGCGTTCAGGACCTCGTCTTTGTTCCCTGTGTCCAGAACTTGCGGCCCCCAGGCAGCCCCTCGTATCTGTAGGCATGAAGACCTCTCTTGTGCACAGATCCTCCACTTCCTCAGCCTGCACCCCATGATGTACCCAGACCCTGTCCCCATCCCATACCCTCTTGACATTCCATGTAGACCCCTCAGCATGCCCCCCTCGTATCTACAATACAGACCACTCACTTCCTGTAGGTAGATAACACCCCTAGATTGTGTCCCATGTGTGCACAGACAGAACCCCTCCTGGCCCATGACCCCATCCTACACCCCTGTCCTCCAGACATCGACGAGTGTCGCATCTCCCCGGACCTGTGTGGTCAGGGCTCCTGCATCAACACCCCGGGCGGCTTTGAGTGCCAGTGTTTCCATGGCTATGAGAACAACTTCCTGCTGATGAAGAATTGCATAGGTGGGGGACTCCAGGGTACAGAGCATCCAGGGAGGAGGAATGCAGGATAGAGGGGTGAGGGGTGAGGACACTGCTGTGCTGGACATGAGGGGAGGAGCAGGTGTGGGAGAAGCTGTGATCCCAGCCAGCAGGAATGTGGGGTGGTGTTCCCCCAGGTCTGGCACTCAGGCACCAGGCCTGAGACATGGGTATGGCTGTTGGCAGGGCCTCCTGGAGAGACTGTGGTAGAAGCAGAGTCTAGGAAAGAAGCTTTGGAAACATGAACATTTACTGGGCCTCTGACTATCCATCACTCTGTATTTTTTTTTACTCACTTTTTAAAATTAATTTTTGAAGAGTTGAAAATAGATACAGTAGCGCACTTGCTGTGGAAGGTCAGGGACTGCAGTCTTCAGTATGGATTGAGGCTCAATTGGCAGCATCATAATGGATGGTGAAGAGATTACGATTGTTCACAGTTTTTTTTCTTGGCTCCACGGTCAACACTCTTGGCACCAGCAGCCAGGAAATTAAAAGACATATTGCGATGGCAAAGTCTACGGTTAGAGACCTCTCTAAAGTACTGAGGTGCAATGATGTCAGTCTGGAGACTAAGGTGCACCTGATACATGCCGTGGTCTTTGCAATCACTTGCTGTGCATCAGAGAGCTAGACAATGACTAGGGAGGATAGAAGGAGAATTGATGCCTTTGAGCTGTGGTGCTGGAGAAGAGAGTTGAATATACCATGGACTGCTAAGAAAATGAACAAGTTTGTCCTGGAGAGGGTGATACCAGGCCGCTCGTTAGAGGCAAAGATTCTGAAGCTTTGTCTGACATAATTTGGACATGTTGTAAGGAGAGACCGGTCCTTGGAGAGGGACATCATGCTTGGTAGGATGGAGGGACAGCATAGGAGAAGAAGACCCTCTATGAGGTGGATTGATTCAGTGACTGGGGTAATGGAGATAGGTGTGTCGGAGATAGTGAGATTAGCACAGGATAGGGCAGAGTTTAGGGCTGTTGTACATAAGGTCGCTATGAGTCACAGGTGACTCAACGGCACATAACAACAACAAGAGCATACACCACTTCAACAATTTTCTACATGTGCAGCTCAGTGACATTGACTACATTCTTCAAATTCTGCCCCCTTCATGGTCACCTTTCCTAAGCTCTCCCTGTTTCCCCACCACTTCCCTGCCCCTTTCACTGCTCATGTCTCTTTCTGAGTTACTGTTGTCCATCTGATCACCTATAGCTAGTACTTTTTTCTTCGCTACTTCCAATTCGTCCTTTATTTATTTACATATATTTTCTTTTTTAATGCTGGCATTCCTTTTCCAACTAGGCTAAATAGTACCCATTTTTTAATACATGAAACAACAATACTGCGTGTATCTACTGAACTCAGGCTCTGCAGAGAGTTTGAGAGATGGAATACCACCCTCTTAGCTCCCATCTCCCTGTGGTAGAGGGAGGACAGATGATAATGAACCACCTCTCCAAATGAATGGGAAATGTCCCTCCTAGGAACATTTAAAGGACCACGTGGATGAGGGGAGGGTGGTGCCAGGACACCTGTTCTATTTGTGGGACTTCAGGTGTTTGAAAAGTGAATAGACCCAGTACAAGAGGTGCCAAAAGAGCCATCCTAGAGAGAGACTGGCACGTGCCAAGGTCCTGGGGTGGCCTGAGAGATAGGAGGCACACGGTTTTCTGCTCCTTGCCCTAGTATCTGCAGGGTACTCTAGCCTTGCTTTCCCACGTGCCCTATGAGAGCCCCCACCCCCACCCCCGCCAGGCCTTCTCAGTGCCAGCAGAAGTGTCACTTTGAATCCCTGGTTCTTCTGAGAATTCTCATTTTCCTCACCCCCCACCCCCAACTGACCTGTTCCTGATTCTCCCAGCTCATACTCAGTTCGTCTGAGTCATCCAGACCCCAAGCCGTCGGAAGCTCCTGTCTTCTTGTGGGTGGTGGGGAGGAAGCTTCCAGAGGCCACATCATCTCCCTGGGAAGGTCTTCACCCCTGCTCTCTCTGTCCACACGTCCAGATGTGGATGAGTGTGTCCGGGACCCACTGCTCTGTCAGGGTGGTAGCTGCATCAACACAGATGGGAGCTACAAGTGCCACTGCCCCACAGGATACACGCTGACAGCTGAGGGCACTACCTGTGAGGGTGAGCATGCTGCCGGCGTGCACACGTGGGAGGGTGCAAGCGTGAGGGGGGGGTGCCGTTGTGTGTGGTGGGTGTGAGTGCAGACCTGAGAGGTTGCTCATGTCTGTCTGTGAGTGTGAGGAGTGGTTGCATGGACAAGACTGGGGGAGTGTTTGTGGGTGAGTGTGCAAGTGGGAGAACAGATGTGAGTGAGTCTGTACGAAGTGTAATGAGGAATGGGGACCATGTTAGTGGAAATGTGCATATGTGTATCTACACAAGTGTGTGCGTGTGTCTGCTGGCACCTGGGCAAGTGTATTTGTGAAGGAGTGAGTGAATGTTTGTGAGCCTAGAGCAGCGTGCAACAGGGTGTGGGTGTGGACCTGGGTGTGCGGGGGGGGGTCTGCACAGGTGAGGGTGGGGTCAAGGCATCAAATGAGACAGTTTGAGGCAGAAGATCTGTCGACACAGGGCCTGTGTGTCTGTGTGTGAATGGATGCTTGTGAGTGTGCACTTGGCTGTGAGGGTACGCCTGGATGTGAATTTGTGTCTATGTGACTTGAGTGTCTTTGTGTGTGAATGTGAGCAGACACAAGGTTGTGTATATCTAGGTGTGAATGTGTGTACATAGAGCGAGTGACCACCAGTGGGAGGGCAGGCATTCTCATACATGATCTGGGTGGCTCTTAAGGTCACCTTCATGACAAACAGGAGGGACCAAGCCTCTTTGTCCATCTGGCCCCTCCCTCTGCTGTGTCCCCACAGACATCGACGAGTGCACCCTGTGGGTCAACCTGTGCCCCCATGGCCAGTGTGTCAATGTCATCGGAGCCTTCCAGTGTACCTGCCATGCTGGCTTCCAGAGCACGCCTGACCGCCAGGGCTGCGTGGGTGAGACTACATGGCCAGAATCAATCCCCTCAGCTTAGTAGGGGGTCAGCTTGGGGCCCCATCCATGCCCCAGAAATGCACCAGTGGGGCCCCACCCTCAGTCCTTGCCAAGCACCATTGTCAGTTTCATCCTTGACCTCAGGCCCAAACTCAGCTATATATAACCCCAACCTCATCCCTAACCTCATTCCTAACCTCATCTCTAGCCCTTCCCCTAAATCCTAGCCCCTCACCTCAGCCCTAGCCACTAACCCAGTCCTAACACCTCACCTCACCCTAGCCCCAGACCTCAGACCTAACCCCTCACCTCTGCCCTAGCCCCAGGCCCCAACCTCAGCCGTAACCCCTAACCTCAGACCTAGATCCTAATCTCAGACCTAACCCCTTACCTCAGCCCTAGCCACTAACCTCAACCCTAAGCCCCCACCTCTGCCCTAACCCCTAATCTCAGACCTAGCCCCTCACCTCAGCCCTAACCCCTAACCTTAGCCCTAGCCTCTCTCCTCAGCCCTAACCCCTAACCTTAGTCCTAGCCTCTCACCTCAGCCCTAACCCCTAACCTTAGCCCTAGCCTCTCACCTCAGCCCTAACCCCTAACCTTAGCCCTAGCCTCTCACCTCAGCTCTAGCCTCTCACCTCAGCCCTAGCCTCTCACCTCAGCCCTAACCACTCACCTCAGCCCTAACCCCACACCTCTGCCCTAGCCCCCGCCCCCAACCTCAGCCCTAAGCCCTCACCTCAGATATAGCCCCTCACCTCATCCCTACTCTCTACATCAACCCTAGCCCCTAACCTCAGCCCTTACCCCTCACCTCAGACCTAGCCCCTAGCCTCATCCCTACTCCCTACTTCGACCCTAGCCCCTCATCTCAGCCCTAGCCCCTCACCTCAGCCTTACCCCAACCCCAACCTGAGCCCTAACCTCAGCCCCAATCCTCACTCCAATCCTGGCCCCACCCACCACAGATATCAATGAATGCCTCGTGCGAAACGGTGGGTGTGATGGAAGCTGTGTCAACACCGAGGGCAGCTACCAGTGCAGGTGTGGGCACGGCTACTCGCTGATGCCCGACGGCAGGGCCTGTGCAGGTGGGTGGCAGGGCCCCCCTCCTGGGGTGGGAACAGGAGGTAGCATCCTCGGCTCCACACTGGCCAAGCGCAGACAGCCCTGCGTGGCCTGTGGATGGACCTGGTGCGCTCTCATCCAAGCCCTCTGCTCCCCAGATGTGGACGAGTGTGAAGAGGACCCAGATGTCTGTGATGGGGGCCAGTGCTCCAACGTGCCCGGCGGTCACCACTGCCTGTGCTTTGATGGCTTCGTGGCCACGCCTGACATGCGGACGTGTGCTGGTGAGGACAGGGTGGCATCAGGGAGGTGGCACCGCAACTCTCAACCAGAATTGCCTCGGCAGCAACCCCAGCAGCACTGGGAAACACCTGTGGGGGTCCAGGTGGCAGTCAGCTCCGGGGGCCATCAGAGCACTGAGCTTGCCTCCTAAAACCCACAGAGTCTTGTCCACAGTGGTATACCCACCCATAATTTTTGCCCTTCGATTTCAACTACTGAACCGTCTGCATTTCCTAGGGCCGCTCTGACAAACTGGGGTTTGGAGGACAGGCATTTGCTGGCTCAGGGTCCTGGAGGCTGGGGTCCAAATCAGGGTGTTGACTGTTTAATTCCCTGGGAGGGCTGAGGCTACTGCCCCCTCCCCTTTGTTCCTCAGCCTCTTTACACCTGTTCCCTTTTATAAGACACAACTCAGAAGGGATTAGGACCCCCTGCCCTCTATGACCTGCCATAAACCTAACTGATAAATGTTTCCAAAGAAAGACTCCCACCTCCCCAAACAAGCCCCATGGGCAGCCATGGGAATCTAAGACTTTAACCCCATTTAATCCATCACAAGCTCATACCTTCCCCAACAGAGGAAGGGTCTGCCCTGCACTGAGCTGCCCTGTACAAAGAGAGCAGACAGAGGGGTTCTGTGTCCCATCCCGCTGCCTGGGGCTGAGGAAGGAGGGAGGTCTACCTCTAACCTCAGCGCGGCCAAGCGGGTTTGTGCAAATGAGAGTGCCTGAGATGGAAACAGGTGGAATTCTGTTCTGTGAGTTGCCTGAAGACACTGGGATGCTGGGAGGGTGGTCTCTGTCCACACCTGAGAGCAAGTCATCACAGGATGAGGTGGGGGTCCCCACTTCACCTGATCGTAGTGGTACATGGGGAGACCATCCAGCAGAGCTGAGACCAGGAAGTGGAATTTTCACCTCCTGTGAAGAGTTAGTTGCTCAGCCCAGAACATTCCAGAGTCCCAGCTCACGGCAGTCTCTGTGAGGAGGTAGCAGAAGCAGCCCAGGACCGCAGACAGTTGGGAAATAGTGTCAACTCCACACCCCTTTTGTGGTTTCACTGGGCGCGTTGGCATCAAGGCTCTGACAAGTCCTGCAATGGACGAATCCAGTAATTTTGTTTAACCCTGTGGGTTTAAGGGGCTCAGGGAACTGCCATCTGGAAACATCCCCTAGAACCTCAGCAGAGGCTATGTGGGGCTCAAACACTCCACAGAGCTGGGCTGATACCAAACCCCATGTCCCTCCACACAGCACCGAACCCTCTCCCCCCACAGATGTGAATGAGTGCGACCTGAACCCCCACATCTGCCTGAACGGGGACTGCGAGAACATGAAGGGGTCCTTCATCTGCCACTGCCAGTTGGGCTATGTCGTCAGGAAGGGGGCTGCGGGCTGTTCTGGTGAGCTGTGGGCTTTTAGGTGGAGTGCAGGTACCAAGCCCCCAGGGGCCAGTTCAGGGTCGTGGGCTTGTTCCTCTTTTCCGGGGTCGGAGCTCAAACAGGTATCATTCTTATGGGTGTCCACTGGTGACGAGCAGGGGCAGAATGAAACCCTGAAGACCTCCTGACCCCTGGGTAGTGCTAACAGTTAAGTGCCCAACTGCTTTGCAGAGCGAAGTTCAAGGTGAACCTACCTGGAGGCCTCTCAGAAGAGACACCTGGAGACCTGCTTCCAAAAGAAAACTGAGAGCAAAGGCTTGAAAACAGGAGCCCAATTCTTGGCATACATTTTTATGTACCACTGAGTTGGAACCAGCCTATAACAGATCCTTTGGCGAATTTTCAAATTTTCTAGTAAATCTGAGGCTATCCATCACATGAGAGGTTGCCCATCTTTCTCCCTCAGAGCAGCTGGTGGACTCGAACCGTGTGCCTTTGAGTTGACAGCACAGCTCATTACCACTAAGCCACCAGAGGACCCCCCCGACACACTTAGTTAGGTTCCCCATAGGTGGGTTCAACTCCACATAGCAGCTGATTAGTTATTCTGGAAGAAGGGCACACCCATTTCTAACAACTTAGGAAGGGTCTCTAGAGTCTGACGCACTCATAGGGCAGCCCTACATGGATCAGAATGGTACCGTGCTCCAGAAGCTTTCCAATGGCTGGTTTTCAGAAGTGGATTGCCAGGCCTTTCTTCCGAGGTGCCACTGGATGAACTTCAAGTAACAACTGTTACCAGTAGAGCACATTAACCACTTGCACTTCTCGGGACTTGCAACTCTGGCGATCAGTGATCATAAGTGCTACAGGCAGAGCAAGTTTTTAAAATGCCACATAGTTATTTTAATGCAGACTGGAAACAACTGTTGCCTAACAGAGGATCAGATCCTCCACTTTGAAGATATTGTAGTATTGATGGGAAAACAATGTTAAGATATTTTCTTTAAGCCAAAACAAGAAGCAGCTGGAACATTGTTCACTATGTAGTAGTTCACTATGAAGTGACATCAGAACAGTCCAGAGGTTGACTAGGACTGGCAAACAGTGGCTTAGAGAGGGCTCAGATAATTTCCTCTTGCTATCTACCCTAAGTCTCTCATGCTGTCATGTTAGACCATTCCCTGAGGGTTGCTGGGAGTCATAGCTGCTGAGGTTTGGGCTCCAGGGCAGGGCTGGGTCCCCTGGCTTATCTCTCTCCTGGCTGGTCCTCACTCTTCCTGCTGCCACAGCACCAAGCCCCCCAAACTCTTACCAAAACTTTATTTCTTGTAGACTCAGAACTCACGAGCATGCCTAGTGCCCTGGTCCTGCTCTTCCTATGACAGGTCCCTTCATGCTGTCCCTCTCCTCTCAGATGTGGACGAGTGTGAGCTGGGGAGACACAGCTGTGACAGTCATGCCTCCTGCCTCAATGTCCCCGGGAGTTTCAGCTGCAGGTGCCACCCAGGCTGGGTGGGGGACGGCTTCAGGTGTCATGGTGAGTGCCTGGGGTAGGGCTTCAGGCAGAGCCGAGGTGGGTAGAGGCTGGAGTGGGAGGGCAGCACCTGCATCCCTGCAGCCTTCTGACCCACCAGCTCCTGGCCCCCCTTTCTGCAGACCTGGACGAGTGCTCCTTCCAGAAGCATCAGTGCAGCCTGCATGCCACCTGTCTCAACACCCCTGGCTCCTACCACTGTGCCTGCCGCGAGGGCTTCACTGGAAACGGCTTCTCCTGTGATGGTGAGACCTGGCCAGGCGGGCAGGGGCCCCAGAGGGTGGCCTGGAGGGTTGGTTCTATGGTGGCCAGCATGCCTCCCAACTCACCTTCACCCACCTGCCACCTCAAGGAGCTAGAGAGGATTCAGCTTCAGCCCATGGGACTGGGGCTGCCTCCTGGACTCTGAACGCCCAGAGCTTTCTGAGTGTGAGGGGCAGGGGCCGTCCCAGGAGCTTGAGTGGCCAGGGCTGCTCTGAGTGACCAGCTCCCTGTCTGTCGAGGGGCTGGAGTCAGGTTGAGCAGGACTCCTGACTTTGTTTCCTTGTCTGGTCATATGTCTGCCCACCTGAGGAGTTCAGAATGCTAGGGCCACATGCCACTCCCTGGGACCCTGACTCTGTCACCTGCTTAAAGGAAGGGACTCAAATATCTGGAGCTGAGTGTCCAGGGCCAGCTGCCCACTTCTGGAACTACAAATTTGTCACCTGTCCACTAGGTGAAGTCTCAAAGTTCAGGGCCAGCTCCTCACCTTCTGGGGTGACCCTGAATTTGCCACATCTCTTTGGATAAAGTCTGAATGTCCAAAGCAGGCTGTCCACCCCTAACTTGGTCAGCTTACCAATGGATAGTGTCCAGGGCCAGCTGTCCATCCCTTGGGGCCCCAGATGGAGGGGGTCTGAATGTCCAAGACCATCTGCCTGCCCCTGAGACCAGGGCAATGGTGAGGGTCTCAGGGCTCCTGATAACCCACAGGGGTCTTAGCACAACCGATCCCAGCTCCCCACCCCCCAACCCTGGACCCCCAGACAGGGATGAGTGTGCAGGCCACACGGACCTCTGTGAGAACGGACAATGCCTTAATGTCCCCGGCGGGTACCTCTGTGAGTGTGAGATGGGCTTCCGCCCCACCGAGGACCAGCAGGCCTGCCAGGGTGAGCGCAGGGCCTGGCTGGGGGTGACACTGGGAGGCAGGTGGGCTGCAGCACGGTGGGCTGACCTCAGGGGCCCTGCAGATGTGGATGAGTGCACGCTCCGGAGCCTCTGCATGTTCGGGAGCTGCGAGAACCTTCCCGGGATGTTCCGCTGTGTCTGTGATGATGGCTACGAGCTGGACCGGAGTGGCGTCAACTGCACAGGTGTGGGCGGGCTGGCGGGTGGGGCTCAAGGGGAGGGGGTGGGTACACCCCTCTCCTCCTGTCCTTTCAAGGGGAAGGAGGAGTTCTCTTTTCTCAGCTCTCCTCCTGGAGAAGCCTCCCTGGTTGCCTGCTTTGCTTGCCTCTCCTCATCACCTGAAAAGGTGTCATGGAATGAATGGAAGAGGGCCCCTCCCCCACCCAGTGCATCAGTCCTTCAAGTCAGTTCTCACTCATGGCGCCTCCTCGTGTGTCACATTGAAACTACACTCCCTACGGGAGCCGGTGGCTGGGTTTTCAGAGGTAGTTAGCCAAGCATTCCTTCCCACTGCCATCAGGCCAGCATCTGAAGTAGCCTCATACTTCTGACATTGCGGTCAGCAGTCAAGTCCACTAACCATTTGTTCCACCCATGGCCTCTCCTCTGGCCACAGTGGCTTCTCACCTGTTATTTTCAAAAGAGAAATCAGGGCACTCTCTTGAGGAAAGACTAGAGAGCAAATGTTTTCAGCTCCGAGGGCCAGAGGGTCTCTATCTCACAGCTGCTTAACGCCTAACCTGCCGTAGACAATGTGTAAACCACATGGTGCAACTGCCTGCCGATAAAGCTTTATCAGCAGAACCAAGAGGAGGGCCAGATGTGGCCTGTGGGTTGTGGTTTGCCGAACTCTGGTTTAGAAGCATTTTCCGAATGTTATTACTGTAAGGTGGGTCTTCGGTATCAGGGGCAGAGAGAGCTTCCAGGGTACAAACCTCAAGGCCAGGTGGAATGGAGTGAGGAGGCGATGGGCTTGGACAAGTACAGGAGGGTTCCGGGGGTCCTGTCCTCTCAGGCTTTCTTCCTAAAGGACTTGCGCTTGCCAGATGGGGAGGGCAGGGGGCTGGGGGAGGATTCCAGGTAACGGTGCCCTCCCCTGTCAGATGTCAATGAGTGCACGGACCCCGTGAACTGCATCAACGGACTGTGTGTCAACACCCCCGGCAGCTACCTCTGCAATTGCCCCCCGGACTTTGAGCTGAACCCCAACAGGGTGGGCTGTGTAGGTGAGTTTGTGCTCAGCTCTGTCCAGGGCTCCGGGGTCAGGTGGCTGAACAGGCCCCAGCCTGCTCAGATACACCTGGCCCTGACAGATAGGACATCTGCTGGCCCCTGCCAGAGTGGCCCACTGTGTCCCTGTTCGGTTACACCTCATGCCCCTGGAACATACATCCATGTTCCTTGGCTGTCTTTGGCTGGGGTTCCTTGTCTGTGTGTTTGAAATTCCTGTGGACCACAGCTAGAGTCACGTGCACTTCTGAGACCCTGTGCACCACACACATGCAGGACTATGCACACACTAACATACGTGGTCATTTGTGTACAGACACACAGAGCTTCACACACAGAATCACATGCACACCGAGTCAGGTTAAATTGTACAGCCACATACATGGTAATTCACCTGCACAGTCACACACAGTCACATGTGCACAGACACACGTGTAAATGTGCACACTAATGTGCCCACGTGATCATTGGCCCATGCAGTCACCATGGGCGTGCATGTACTTCATCACAGACGTGTGCATGCCCAGGCTTCCGGGCTCCTCCACTCCTCACTGACCACCCTTTCTGCTCTGCCCACTTAGACCCTCGAGTTGGGAACTGCTTCTTGGACACGTATGACCGAGGAGATGGGGGTCTCTCCTGCGGTGCTGAGATCGGGGTGGGCATCCCCCGAGCATCCTGCTGCTGCTCCCTGGGGCAGGCCTGGGGTAACCCCTGTGAGCTGTGTCCCATAGCCAACACCAGTGAGTTCCTGGGGTGGGGGCACGGACTGGGGTCACTCCTGTGAGAGGGGCTGTGGTGACAGGGACACTGAGTAGGAGGGACAGGAGCTCTTCCTGAGTCAGTGCATTCTTTCAGGTCCTCGTTGGGCTGGCTTCTCAGGTCTTGTTCTGCAAATACTTCTCCATGTGTTTGTGTGTTCACTGAGTCAGTTAACAAACATTCTGGTTTCCTCTGAGCCTTTTTCTAGGAGTTGGGCACCCATATAAGAATGTGCCACAGCTGCTGTGCCCTGCAACTCACCCACAAACCAGTGTCCCCAGAACTGTGAGGGGTGGAGTCTGTTTTAAATCACAGCAATGGCACAAGAGAAAGCCATGGGGGAGGGTACAAAACAAGAGGGTTTTGAAGGAGGAATAGGAGTTTTCTGAGTAGTAGTAGAAAGGGTGTGTGATGCAGCAGGAACAGCATATGTCAAGGCCTCAGGTATAAAACAAGGGGACACATGTTGACGAGAGCAAAGAGCCTTCCTCTCACAGAGAAACTTCTGATCACACTAGGGTCTGGTTTTAAATCATAGAGGATCTCCCTCCCTCTTCCACTCTCAGCCACATGATTCATCTGCTCCCATGTTGTAAGTGGTTTTGTTGTTGTTAGGTGCCTTCAAGTTACACACAGCTCATAGTGATCCTGTGAACAACAGATCTGAACCCTGTCCTATCCTGTACACAATCTCTGATACACTCGAGTTCATTGTTGCAGTCACTATGTCAATCCACCTGGTTGGAGGTCTCCCTCTCCTTCCCCTTCCCTCCATCTTTCCAAGCATGATGTCCTTCTTCAAGGAATAGCGTCTCCTAGCAACATGCCCAAACTATGAATATGGTGTTGTAAGTGAGCACGTTAGTATACATACACAAACAGGCTGGACCACAGAGAGCCTCAGGAATGGGTGAGGCCTGCTGGTCCTAAGAGGCCAGGGAGATAAGTGGGGAAGTATGAGAAGGTAGCAGGTGCAGTGGAGGGGTGTGGGGTTTTTAGGGGCACTCCCTCTCTTCCCCCGGGCCTTTATCCAGAAGCCACAGCCTCTCACAACACTGCTTTTCCTGGCAGCTGAGTACAGAACCTTGTGCCCTGGTGGCGAAGGCTTCCGGCCCAACCCCATCACTGTCATCCTGGAAGGTGAGTTCTGTCCAGCCACTTGACCCCCCTACCAAAGTGTAGGTAGCTTTGAGTGGCTTTGAGTTGGGCAGCTTTGAAAGAGCCAAGACCCTTCTGCTGCCTTGGCCCAGGTAGCAGAAATGGGCTGAACTTTACATTTTTTCTAGTCTTCAGTCATCTCCCTTCACACCTGTTGGTTTATGGATCTGTCCTCCTGCACACACATCCATTCAACTACTAATTCATCTTCTCCATTTATCCACTTGTGTGTTCATCCATCTACCCACCTATGTACCCCTCCTCCATCCATTTGTTTATGCAGTTGTCTACCCACCCTCATTCGTCTACCCATCCCTCCACTCATCTAGTCTCCATCCATTAATAAATTTTCCATTCATCCAACTACCCATTATCTGCTCAGCCGTCTACTCACGCATCCATCTATCCATCCATACATCCAACCATCCATCACTTCTTGTTGTTGTTATGTGCTATCAAGTTGCTTGCGACTCACAGTGACCCTATGTACAAGATCCCTAAACCCTGCTCTATCCTGTGCCAACCTCACTGTCTGACATACCTACTCCCATTACCCCAATCACTGAATCAAGCCACCTCATAGAGGGTCTTCCTCTCTTGTGCTGTCCCTCTACCCTTCCAAGCTTGATGTTCCTCTCCCAGGACTGGTCCCTCCTTGCAACATGTCCAAAGCATGTCAGACGAAGCGTCAGAATCCTTGCCTTCAAGGAGCAGCCCGGTTTCACCCTCTCCAGAAAAACCTGTTTGTTCTCCTAGCAGTCCATGGTATATTCAATACTCTTCTCCAGCACCACAGCTCAAAGGCATCAATTCTCTTTCTATCATCCCTATTCACT